AATTTGAATCCCTTATATGTCCTTCAATAAATTGGACATGACTTGACTCCAAATTGTACAAGAACTATGACATGTCAGGTGTAATTGGACTCATTGATGGAAATAAAAAAAATGAAAAAAGAAGCAGAAGAAAACCAAACTAAACATCCCAGATACGAGGGGAAAGCGAAATGCCAAAAAACAAACAAAATGTTGGGATCACTTTAAGTTGATTTCAACGGAAAAAGTCGTAGATGGCCTTGCAGAATCTAAAACAGTATGTTAATACTGCCAACAAAGACTGACATGGCAAAAAAGAATTGGTACCACCCATCTCAACCGCCACTACAAAGCATGTGCGACCAGACATGGACTTCTTCCAACTTGTCAAACGCAATTGCAATTTGGCAGTTCAGGCGCCGGTTCTACAACTTCACCCCTATCCATGTGGGTGTATTCGAAGGACAATACTCAAACTGGAATGGTGAAATTTGTTGACGCCACTGAGTTGCCTCTGGCTATTGCAGACAACCAACACTTCGTCTTGTTCGTGAAAGAATATCTGCAACCGAGGTACGTTAGGGTAAGTCGAAACACTCTTCGTGCCGATACAATACAATACTTCAATAATTCAAAACAACAATTAATTATAGATTTACAACAATATGGGTGTGTTATATCTTTAACTTCTGATATATGGGAAAAGGTTAATAAAAGAGCATATCTAGCTGCAACCGCATACTATATAAACCCACTTTGGTGCATGTATAAGAAAATTATTGCTTTTAGAATTATTGAGTATCCTCACAATGATAATAATATATATAATGTTATTATCAGTATTGTTAGAGAATATAATTGCGAGACTAAAATTCGGTATTTTACTATTGATAATGCTAGTATTAATAAGGTAGTCGTCGATAAATTGTGTAGGACACTTTAACCTGATTTTTGTGGGTATTTGTTTTATATTCGTTGTATATGTCATATCTTGAATTAATTGTGCAAGATGGCTTAAAACATATAAAGGATGGACTTCAAAGGATTAGGAATGCATTAGTATATATTACGATTTCTCCTAGTAGAAAACAAGCATTTAAAGATTTTTGTGTCGAACTAGGGGTGACGCCTACTAAAACATTTGTTAGCGATGTAGGTCATAGATAGAACTCTACTTGCTATTAAAGTAATGTGAATGTTTCGAAAATTTAATAACTGACTTTTATAACAATAGACACGTTAGAAGTAATGACGATGGTATGTTAAATGAATCCGATTGAATTTTAGTTTTGAAAATTAAACGATTTTTGACATCTTTTTATGAGACCACAAAAATTTTATCCGGCGTTTATTATCCCACAAGTTGTATGGTGTTTGAACGCCTTTATATAATTGCAAGAACATTCCATAAATATAAAAATGATCCTACTTTTAGTGAAATTATAATTACTATAGAATTAAAGTTTAGAAAATATTAAGAACTGCCTCTGTTATTTTCTTTAGCATGCGCAATGAACCCCCCGATATAATATTTCGGGAACTAAATACGTAATTGATCAAATCAATAAATCTTTAATACTTGATACACCTATCACCTATAAGAATTTAGAGCAAATATTATGTGGAATGTATGATCTATATGCGGAAAGAATGGGTGTAAATGTTAGTCGGGTACCCTCTGCACCTACTCCTTCTACTAAAATTGAAGAAGATGATGCCGAAATAATGAATTTATTTCAAGGCATTAATACATTTAGTTATGATGTAACTGCGATGTGTTCATCTAGTGTCATGTCATCTACATTTGCATCTCATCAAACATCGGCCGAAACTAAAAATGCGATGTTTGCCGAATTAATTGATTACTTCAATCATAATATGCCAACAGACAGAACAATTAAAAAAAGTTCAGAAGAAGTAATTAAATTCTGGCGAAAGTATGAAAAATGTTGGTCAATTGTTTCTGTAATTGCGAAAGATCTGCTGACACCTCCGGTTAGATTGATCAAATCAATAAAGTTTTAATACTTGATACACCTATCACCTATAAGAATTTAGAGCAAATATTATGTGGAATGTATGATCTATATGCGGAAAGAATGGGTGTAAATGTTAGTCGGGTACCCTCTGCACCTACTCCTTCTACTGAAATTGAAGAAGATGATGCCGAAATAATGAATTTATTTCAAGGCATTAATACATTTAGTTATGATGTAACTGCGATGTGTTCATCTAGTGCCATGTCATCTACATTTGCATCTCATCAAACATCGGCCGAAACTAAAAATGCGATGTCTGGCGAATTAATTGATTACTTTAATCATAATATGCCAACAGACAGAACAATTAAAAAAAGTTCAGAAGAAGTAATTAAATTCTGGCGAAAGTATGAAAAATGTTGGTCAATTGTTTCTGTAATTGCGAAAGATCTGCTGACACCTCCGGTTAACACTGTTGCTTCGGAGTCTGCTTTTAGTGCAGGTAAAAGGGTTTTGACCAATGTCAGAAGCTGGCTGAAAGAAAATGTTTTGGAAGCATTAATGTGCATGAAGGATTGGCAGGACACTCATTTTTTACTACAAGATAAATACGCTGAAATTGCATATCGTCAGGTAAGTGATATTAAATTTAATTATAGTAATCAAAATTTCTTTATTTTTTAATCGTTAAATTTAATTTTCTTTAAAAAATTGTACACGTTACAACAAGTTATTCGTGTACAATTTTTAGCTCCGCCTACTTAAAATTGATGTAGCCGCCCCAAGCCCGGATAAAGGAGAAGGGTTTACATTTTATCTACTTTAAAAAGAAATCAAAAAATATATATTTCTTGTAAATCTATTTCAAAAAATAATTCGTCTTCATTATATAAATATTTTATACTTTATAAAAAATATAACAATATGATATAAATAAAAAATTGTCTTCATTAAATTATTTGTATTTTTTAACACTTTTTATTTTTTTAAAGTGTTTTCTATTATTTCATTTATTTGTAAAACTCTTAAAAAAAATTAAAAATGGCTCAGCCCATGAGTTCGTGGGCCGAGCCGAGCCAAGCCCAAGCTCGGCTCGTTGAAAACAAGCCACGAGCTCGTGAGGTTAAGGGCCAAGCAGAGCCATTGCCACCACTAATTATATGTCAAATAAATAGGTCTCATCGCACCACATTTAATTGAGCTCACATATTTATATCATATATGATGTTCTTTTAGCATTAGAGGTGAAAACATTATTAATCTCCAAATGAGATTTGACATCATGTTATTGATATATTATTGATAGACTTTAGGCGTGCATAAGTGTCATGAAAATCATTGGATTCAACTAAAGAATTGATCGGATCAATAATGTAGACAAAACCTTGTTTTCACTCGGGTCTTGTGTGGATATGTGAGTAAATTTAATCAATGCTCACCCAACTTCAATTTATATTACTACTTGCTCACCGAACTATAAAATATAACTCATTACTCACCCATATATATAAACACTTACCCATCCATCACCCATTTAAACTTCGTCAACTTTAATTAACGGAATTTGCCACGTGTTGGATGAAAATTTGACGTGGCACATAAAAGACATTAAATCAATCCAACTGGCTTAAAATTGCCACGCACCAAGTGACAACCCGTCATCAAGAATTTAAAGAAACCACTTTCTCCACCAAAAGAAAGCATCTTTTTCTTGGACCTTTTCTTTATTCTCTGTGTCCCTTTCAAATTTTGAAACTTTTTAACAATTTAGATTATAATCCTTCTCGCTTCATCTTCACACGCTTGTCAAGTTCCTGTATTTGTTTTAGGGCTCTAACTTTTGAGGATTCTTTGCCTCTCAATTTTCCATTTCTGGGCTTCGAGTCTCTAATCTAAATTGGGTAGATGCCAACAATTCTTTGATGTTTATGCTTTAATTTTCTATCCTGTACTGATATTTGCATACTTTGATTTAAGATTTTCATGGGTCCATAGTAATTCATCTTCTTCCCCAACTTGGAACCGTAGAAATTGCCCCCAAATTCCTAACTCTTGTGGCCTTGAATTTAAAAGTGGTTGTATAGCAACCTCTTGCCACGGCTGCTGTGGGGGCACTGGTGCGGAAGCTGCAGAGGTAGAGGCGGTTATGATTGACTCCCGTTTCGATGAAGGAAGTAAGAATGATGGTTTTTTTAGTAACAGGTTGAATGGGATCTCTTCTTTGTGGGTTGTTAAGCAGGTTCGAAGAGTCATTATAACTCCCTATAAAGGCCTTCTGATTCTGCAAAAGTCACAACCAGTGTGAAGTAAATTAGAAGAAGGCACTTTAAAGGAGAAGATGCTTCACTCCATGCTGCTAATGTGTTCTGTCTTGGAGTAGTAATGTCAAGCTGTAAAAAGGAATACTTATGCATAAGTAAATGTTATTGTATTATTCAAATGAAATTGGAAATACCTTTAGAATGTTGGAATATGTTATTGCACTTTAAAGGAGAAGCTTCACTCCATGCTGCTAATGTGTTCTGTCTTGGAGTAGTAATGTCAAGCTGTAAAAAGGAATACTTATGCATAAGTAAATGTTATTGTATTATTCAAATGAAATTGGAAATACCTTTAGAATGTTGGAATATGTTCAGCTGTCTATGTAATGAATCAATAAATGAATGGAATGGAATGGAATTTAATCCTCCATGTGTTTAAGGATTTATTCTTAATATGTTATTGTGTTTTTTATATGACAATTGTTGGTTTCTTGTTGATGGAGGTTGCTGGCATATGGTTGTGGTTGATGTATTAAAGGTGGTTGGTTGGGATATATGGCTGTGGTTGTTGGTTTGTTAATGATTGATTTAAGTTGGAGCATCAGCTATCCATATGCAGCCTGATACATGTATCACAACTCTGATGCATCAGTTAAATGCAATGTGATGTAGCAGAGTTTTGATACATGACTAAATGGAAAAACTATAGCATAGAACATATGACTGCATTATTCCCAATTGATAGTGTGAAACAAAGAACATCTCAACAATGCAATCAACATCAAAAAAGCCTTCATTCATTCCACAATGAAAGCACAAACAGTAAATTAAGCATTTGATTACAACCACGACTAGTTTGTTGCAAAATATGGCATAACTTCAAAGTACTAAAAAGAAATTATTGTTCTACTGATTCACTGCATGGGTTGCTGCCCTCTTCTATGCATTTTCTTTGGATTGAGATATTTTCAGTTCTCAAATAACCTCGCTTAGCAAGTGAAGGATCACTCCAATCATATTCTGTACCATTTGCTACAACTAATCCAGGCGTCGGCATGAATTGAAACTCAAATGGTTGTGGTCATGGTGGTTGAACTTCATTTCTTGAAGTCGTGTTCGATCTCCTAGGCATTGGCTTTGCCTATGCAAAAATGGAATAACCAAAATAAACAAAAAATAATCAGTTTTGTAAAACACAAAATATATTAGGGGCTTGTTTGAGCCACATTATTTCAAAAAAATACATTCTTAAACAATGATTTGACATCATTTAAACCACACATTCTTCAATAAAATAATATTACACGCAGATCAAAAAAAATTTCTTATTTTTAACCACACATTTCCCATCAATACACTATTCAAGAATGCATTATTACCAAAATAATATGGCTCAAACAACCCCTAGGTTACCTTTAAGTTTTGGTCGTTACTTTGACTAGATTTTTCTTGAATTAGACGCTCCACATCATAAGCAAGGCAATCATAAAATAAACGAACACGTGAAATAATTATAATCATTCTGAGCAAACTAATAATTCTAAACAAACATATGAAATGTTTACAATTAAAATTATTTCAAAGAACACAAACCTCTTGTGGTGCGTCAGGCCCCTGATGGTATCGCTTGTTGTGTCCCTTTCCTCCACAGACACTACAAGTCATAAGCACAAATCCCTGTTTCTTCATTTTTGCTTTTGAGCCTGAACGGGTGATGACATCTTCTTCCTGTTGTCTCCTTCTCTTCTGTTTTTTACCCCTTCTGGGCACAAACCAACTGGGCGGTTTGATTGGTGGGGCATTACTTGAGGGCCATAGTTTTGAGCCATTTATAGGATTAATAATATTCTCATAGCAACTGAGGTAGGTATCAAATCTATAGCACTCATGAACGTACTTCCAAGGCTCATCATATCTGTCTACAATAGCGGCGACTGCATGAGCACAAGGAATCCCTGTCAAATCCCATCTTCTGCATGCACACGTCCTATTTGGCAGATCGACAACGTATTCTCCACTCGAACACTTCACGTAAGATTGTGCTCCCCCTGACCAGTCCACCTCGAATCCCTCGGCCATTTCACTGCTCTTCAATAGTTTTCGTTGTATTTTAGGGCATAAATGTCCTAAGGCTTTACTCATCTTATCCCTTCTTGATTGTATCATTTTCATAAAGCTTGCGTGTATATCAATTAACATGGTCAATATGGACTTCTCCCTATCCCCCAACACCACATTATTGAATACCTCACAAAGATTATTCAGAACTATATCACTCTTCACCTTTGTCAAAAAGTGAGCTTTACTCCACTCACTAGAGTGCCTCTTCATTAACCAACCATGTGCAGCCTTGCTCACCTTCTCAATTTCATCCATCTAGAACTTCCAATCGGAAATTGTTGTTGACTTTGCAGCCCTCCACAAATAGTCCTTCAGAGTCAAACCCTTAAAATCAGCTCTAAAGAAATTGGTGTACATGTGTCTGACACAAAATCGATGTTCAGCCTTTGGATATAAATCCTCTATCACATTTTGTAAATCTTTTTGTCTACCGATCATAAAAGTCCACTCATTACTATTCATAATTTTCAAATCTTCATCGAGATGTCCAATAAACCACCTCCAAGTAGTAGCATTCTCTCTCTCCACTATAGCATACGCTACTGGATAAATACAGTTGTTCGCATCTAATGCCACTGCAAGCTTCTAAACAAACATATATTCCTTGAAACTTTTCAGCATTCATGGCAATGATACATGTAGAACCGGGATTGGTTCGCAATATTTCAATGGCAAAAGATCTATGCAAGCCAAATTGATATTGATCGGAACCCTCTATTAATATCCTAGCATATCTTCTAGCCCCCGCCAAGTAGTAACATCGCTGATTGTCAATTTCAAGTCATCCTTTACAGCCTTCTTAATCAGTCTAGTCTTCCAATCAAGATCTACTTTAAAAGTCTCCAAATACCTCTCCGCTATATACCTAGCAGTACAATGCCTATTTGTTTTGTCTTTCATGCATGTATGCTCTGAATTTTTAGATTTTATTTGCACGCAACCAAGCGCTTTATTCAAAGACGCCCAAATCCTAAATTTACAATTGTCTTTTTTGCATATAGCCTGTGCTCTCTCATCATCATTCGGCCAAAATTTAAAATTGTGCCTAGTTGCAACCCCATGGTTCCTAACAGCTTGTTTAAACTCCTCAATATTTTTGAACTCCTTTCCAACCTCTAACTGTGGGTTATACTTTTCCTTTTCAACGTCATAAAAAGGAAAGCTATAATCCTTCTCTTCACTAGAAGAATTATCAGTATGCAATTCTTCCTCACTTGGACAATAACCATCATCATTTTCTAACTCCTCTATACCTGCAACCTCAAATTCAACCGTTGGGTCTGCATTAAATCCCACCACAACACGTTCAGGTGCATTCGTGTCAAATTGGAACCCATCATCATTAACCTAATCGTCTGAATCATTCAAATGACATTTGAGAGGTATCCATTCCTCTTCTTCAAAGGTCAGGTCTGCAATGGAACACGAGGTTAGGATTTTTCAAACACATCCGCACCACATGCAAATAAAAATGCATAAATATGGTTCTAAACAACGAAATTATGGTCCCATAAAACAAAATTCAGATTCAATTTTTCAATGTACTTCCAAAGAAAAGAACATAAAAAAGACAAAACTAAAAAATTGTGATCCCATAAGAGAATATTCAAAATCCAATGAAAAGTTTAGTAAATTTACCATGTGGTGGTTCTTCTTCAGCTATCACCAATATTGTTTCTTCCACAGTGATATTGCAATCCATACTAATGCTGGGGGATTTTCTTTTTTCAAATATTCTGATTTTTCAAATATTTCATACCAACTTTTGGTTACGTGCAATTGTTGTCAATTCTCTTGGCCACCACGTGGGCAATCTGTGGGAGGAATAGAATGGCAAAGACCATTAAACACAACCAATCTAAGATGAAATTCAAGGCCAGAGGAGTTGGGAATTTGGGAGCAATTTCTAGGGTTCCAAGTTAGGGAAGAATTCTTCTTTCTTCTATTTTTCCCTTCTTTGAGGCTTCTTCAGAGAAAACGGGTTTTCACAATTTTAAGCCCAGTTGGACAGATTTAATGTCTTTTATATGCCTCGTCAAATTTCCATCCAATACGTGGCACATTCCGTTAATTGAAGTTGACGGAATTTAAATGAGTGATGGATGGGTAAGTGTTTAGATAGATGGGCGAGCAATGGGTTATATTTTATAGTTCAGTGAGCAAGTAGTAATATAAATTGAATTTGAGTAAGCATTGATTAAATTTACTCGTGGATATGTGGGAGGGGATGGTCTTAGGTTTGTGTAGGGATTTTGTTTGTCCACAAGAACGGATTTATTTTCACGTTTATTGTTCTTCAACAGTTTCATGTTCACTAATTTCTTTTTGTTATATATTTCATCCTCTTAACCTTTCCACGTTTGCTCTACATTTCCTAGATAAATCAAAACCTCACAGTACCAATGATTCGAAGAAGGAAGCAATGATTCCAAAATAACTAGCAGCAAATACTGTTGCACAAATATTTACATTTCGTGAAGTTACGGCTACTACAAAAAACTTTAGGCCAGAGTGCTTGCTGGGTGAAGGTGGGTTCGACCGAGTTTACAAGGTCCGTTAGAAAGCAAAGACAGGTAAATTCTCCTAAAGCACATCATAAAGTAGCTGGAAGAATTTTTTTAAAGTTACATTTTTGTTTCAGTCGTTATGTTGGATTCCTTTTGTATAAATAACAGTAATGCTTAAATGGATAAGAGTAGTTCGACGTGGTAATTTAAACAGGTGTAACATGAAAAGAAAAAAGGGAAAACTGAAAAATAAAATAAAATGTTTATTTCACTGTTGACGTATGGTTTTATGATTCTTGATTAATTCTTGGATGCTTCTCGACTTTTCAGTTAAACACGTTCATTTCGAAAAATGTAGTGCACATATGACTGTTGGTCAAACTTATTGAATAGTATGAACTAAAAATCAAAGAAATTACACTAGATGTCATTTGTTGGGATTTCCACTATGAACAATATGGCAGATAAATTGCATTTGCGAGATACAGATAAATTGAACATGGAGGATTGGAGGACATGACCAAAGTACAATACTTGAATGAGTGGAGTGTTATTCATACTCTGCTTAATAGATATGCTCTCGATCAAATTTATGACCCTAAACCACTATTATATTCATCATTTAAAATTTAGAAGTGTTTTAGAATCGATAAATTACTTAGCTTTTGCATCTATATGACAATTCGTTTGGGTTGAAAATTTTGAGATGAAAAATTAAAGTTCAGTTCTTATTTCGATCTCACAAAAGTACATTCTTAAAGCATGACTTGAAGTTATATGCGTGGTACTCGTATGCATTTGGTAGAAATCTTGATTGACACTCGTATCTTCAGTTCAAATGTTTATGTCACTTGTGTAATGTGGACAAAACCTTGCTTTCACTTACAATCCATCTGTTGTGGGTGGTACTCGCTGCATTCGGTTGGAACTCTCGATAGACACTTGACAGCATCCTTATGGATTTCATGTTTCGTTCCGGACAGTTCATCTATCGACACTTGTGGCTGAACTGTCGTTCCCAATAGTTAACCTCAGTCATTCTCAACAGATGAACATGTGGATGGATAAACCGACAGTTCAGTTCCTACCTGATTAGCCCTGCCCTAACCAGTAAAAAATGTAATTCCTATGTCATATGTGTTCAGATTTCAGTATTCGTTTTTTTTTTTTTTTTTGCGTGCAACAATGTCTGAAATGAAGTGGGCTGAATTAGGGCTATTTTATTGATTGTTTGAAAACCATTATGAAGATTCTAACCAAAATGCAGCATCCAATTTCCAGTGACTTGAAGTAATATGGGTGATAGTCGTATGCATTTGGTGGAATTCTTAATTGATGTGGCCATATCTTCCGTTTCAATGTTTATGTTACGTGTGTCATAACCTTGCTTTCACTTGCACACATTGAGGTTGTAGGTGGTACTCGTTGTATTCGGGAGGAACTGTTGAATGACACTTCACAACATACTTGTGGTTTTTGGTGTATATGTTGCTAGAAAGTTTATATTCTCGTTTGACGCATTCATTTCTTATTTTGTCTTTGTAGACATGGATTTCGAGCCTCTTGTTCCAGAGAATGCACGACTGCGGGGCCACATATCGCAGAAAAGCAATCTGCGTTATGTAAAAACAGTCGTCGAACATTTTGACGAGCGACAGCGGAAAGACTTCCGCAACTCATGCCTTGGGTTCTTGTCGGAGGTTTCAGATCTCTAGCTTTCTGCCCAATTAATCCAACAGCTCGTATTCTGCTGCATACCAACAGATAAGGGGCACGATCTGTGGTTCAACTTACAAGGCCACCTCACCAGGTTCGACATCCAAGAGTATGCTCTCATAACGGCATTAAGGTGTAGTCTTTCTCCCAGATGACAACGTCATGGAACGAATTCTTGACAAGAGGAGAGACTAAAGAACAAATACTTTAAACGTGAAAAAGATTTCGTGTGCCCAACTGGAGCAGACATTTCTCCGATCGTCAACGCCCCGAGCCGATTGATACAAGCTCGGCCTCGACTTGATCATCGAAGGAGTCTTCAATGCTCTGGATAACAACGTTGGTATCGATATGGAGACGTTGATCGTCGACGATTTGGACTTGTTCTTTTCGTATTCTTGTGGTAGAATTTCGTATAGACGTCTGATAAGGGGCTTTCGAGGCCATTGGGCAAGGAAATTTTTGAATGCAACGAAAAAGAAGGTGAAGGCTATTAGCTACACGGTCCACGGCTTTCCCATTGCCGTGCATGTGCCTTTATTTGACGTATTCATTATTTCAATGTAAATGTATGTAGTGGTTGGTTTTGTCGTGAACTTACATTCCTTTTTTGCTGTAACAGATATGGGCGTTCGAGGTGTTGCCCGAAATTAGTGATCGGTTCGATCAGCGTCTTGGTGAACGTTCCCTACGGCTTCTTAGCTAGACATCAACAAAGCAGCCGCAGCAGCATACGTACGACGCTTTCTTCAAAAATGTACAGGTAAAATTTTACGTGTATGTTGCAACTACATGTGTACACGACGCTGCGCCCCACCGAAGCCGAGCATGGACAACCTCATATCGTCACTCTTGTACCGTTCGATGATCGTCCTATCCCTGCGTTGGACGACCTAGCCAAGGACAGTGTTGCTCCACAGTTCCACGTAGAACGTTTAGGCACACCTGAAGAAAGCACCTCCGAGGATGAGACTTCTGATAAGGTCCATGAGGGTAGTGGGACCAGTGACGAGGAAGAGGAGTCAGGAGCCGATGACAGCGAAGAGGCCGAAGGTAAGGACTCGGAGGACCACGACAGTGGGGATAGTAACAGTAACCGAGTTTGACGAAGTGGGCAAACGGGGACATTTTCCACCACCTACGTGCATAGAGCTACTTCTCCCATGCAGGAACCGTCCACCTCTTATGCCCGACCAACTGCAACGGTCGGATAGAGCCTCACAGCAAACAATGTTCAGGGCATGTTGCTGGATCAAAGAATTCTCATAGAAATGCGGCTCCGCACCGTAAAGCTCGAAATCATGCAGCACGTGTCCGATGAATTTAAAAAATTGAAGGACTTCATATCCACCGTCCTCCCCGCATCCGGCTCTATAACCACTGCACGTGCGGCTGATGTGGACCCCAAGCCCAGACAATCAGGTACTTCACCATATGCATACATTTCTTTATGACAATGTTCACTTTAACCTTGCACACATTGACGTGTTTTGTATGACAATTGTTCATTCATTGCAAACTACGGAGGCTTTGCAGACTATGCAGGCCACCACCCGTTGCCTACGATCCTGACAAAGACATGGGGATTGACAGGCAAGAAGGAGACGGTATGTGCATTACTGAAGAAAACAAGAAGCCATGCCCCGAACGAGCAAGATATGCCGCTATCCATTGGAACCGAAAGTCTGCAAGGTACGTGGGTTATTTATGAGCAAATTGATGAATTATTATTTCATGTGTTTCACATGTTTTGAAAATTGGCAAAATTTATTTTCCACTCACTGTTTCATTGTTGTTCTAAACAGACAAAGCACACATTCAGCCATGCCCGGACGATTAGCCCGTGCCAGTGCCCACCAGAACCGAAGAAGTGCAAGATATTGCATCGTTTATCATGGATTGAAGAAATATTATTTCAGGCATCCGTTTACTTTGCAATTGCTCATTTGTTGTAGTCGAAGGGGGCCACCACCCGTCGCCTGGCGATCGTGACGAAGAGCAGGACATGCTGCCTAGTGGAACCGAACATCTGGAATGTATGTGGGTCATTTATGAGGAAAACTTGGACATTGTTATTTCATACACTTGGCCTATTTTGAAAATTTCCAAAAATAGTACACTCAAAATGTTTCATCGTTGTTTTCGACAGACATAGCAGACATTGAGCCATGACCCCACAATGATCCCGTGCCAGTGCTCACTGGAACCGATGAAGTGTAAGGTATTCCATCGTTTATCGAGAACTGAATTTATTTTTCGTGTCATTTGCTTATTTTGCAACTTTCCCATTTTGTAAATGACGAACTCGACAATTCAACTGTCGAGAATGTCAAGAAGCAGACGACAGTGGGTTTCTCAGGCTTCTTCAGCACATCACATTAAGTGTGGTCATTATTATTCAGCTACCAAATGACAAAATGTAAATGGCATCTGGGCCTTATCATTAAAGAGACCTTAATGGTGGTAATGGAAGAAATTATTCAAAATCTTAATGTGATAATGATATTTTGTGAAGGATTCCAAAACCAAACAAATGAATACATAATATTTCCAAAAATTTCAAAGAATTATGTCCATGTTGTATTTAACATGTACAAATAAAAAACTATAAAAGTAAAATATAAATAATTTGTAATTGCTAACCTCTCAAAATGAATGAAGAATGCAACACAAATGTCTTCTTGATCAATGAAAATGAAGAAGATGGAGAAAATGTAGGGTTTCTTATTTATATTATGTTTTCAAATTTCTTTGGTGATTTTTTATTAAAAAAAATCATATTAATCAATAAAAAATACACGTCTCCATGTTTTCTATATAGAAATTAAATGATCACATCAAGTCAATGCTTTTCCTTCAAATCAAGTATTTAATGCTACTAAAAATGTGTCATTAAGGGTAATTTAGACTTTGCACTCCAAAAATGTGACATTTTTGCTCACAAAAAGCAAAAACAACAATTTTTTTGGAACTTTTATTTTTTGTGACATTTTTGTAAATTACCCTATAAAGTAACATAGATCAGTAATTAGCATAGATTGTTACAGAAATGTAGTACAACCTAAATTGATATATTAGAGAAGATACAAACTATGAGGCGCGACAACTCTTAGGTACTTTACTACTCTAAAATTGATTCCATTATCCAAACCACCAACCTAAAGTTAAAGAATTACTAAAAAAAAATAGTTGCTTTATTGATACATATTGATAAGACTGAAATATTAGCCCTGTTTGTCTCCCTCTAAAGCAAAGCTCTTTAATTCTCATACTCATTTTCAACCACACATTTGCACAATAAAATATTTTGCATGTAACCTAAAATCTTTCCTTAATTTTAATCACACATTCTCCAAAAAATTACTATTCAAAACTCCATTTTTGCAAACTAATGGCCTTCAAACAGGGGCTTAAATCGCACTTGAGCTTTATATGGAGTTGAAGACTTTAATAACCTCTGATGTGAATAAAATTGGATTGGATGAGGCGAAGCCATTTCATGATCTTTATATGTATATATTTCATGATTTGACTTGTACATTAAAATTGATTTAGACAAGAGGTGAAAGCTAGAGATAGCTAGATGTATAAATCTTTCAAAGAAGGAAGGGCTTTGCTTTTTGAGGGACTGCTTGTTTGGAAGTCAAAGACGGTAGTAGATAAGATGAGCGACAATCAAAGGGCTACAACATGTTAAATCAATTCCTATTAGATTTATTGAAAAATTCTTTGCCTTCAAAATGAAATGTTGGATTTTATGCGCAATATTAAAGAGATGAAAAAGATAACCAACACAAGAATTTACATGATACGACGGTGTGCCTACGTTCACGAGAGCGAAGCAGAGATTTCTTTATTCAATAATGAAAAATAGGGTTATAATATATTATTTATACTAACTCTAGCCTGGACCCATATAAGATTTCAAGGCCCGTACAAAAAATACCCCTGTATCGTACCGCGGGGGCAACCCATTCAGCGTTCCTAACAAACAGACAGTGAATTAAACCCGCGCAAGGCCGATGCTGTCGCTCCGCTCTTCTCACTCCACTCCGCTCCAAGCCGGCATCGGCCCATTTGATTCAGGACCTATGTTCCACTCTATATGAGCCACATGTACAACATGAAACCAACAACCTTCCTTCCTGAGATTTCAATAATTGACACTATAGCTTTGCATAACCACCACAAAATTTCGAATGAACCAATTTATTAAGCCCCTGTTTGATACCAATTAAAATCTAGATTTTAATGTAAGTCAAAGTCAACAATTCATTTCAACCACATATTTTATGAATTCCACAACTTTTCGACCACATTTTATCAACTTCTACTAAAATCTAATTTTTATCCCCACCAAACAAATGCGAAAATTAACATGTATCCAATATCTTTCAACACATTAAAAACAAATGCAAATTCATTCCCTAAACAACAAAATTACTGGAAAAATTCCTAAAGTAAAACCCAATAAAACTCTTAGTAATTAAAATAAGAGAAGAATTAGCAACTTACCCATAAATGCCACCGGTATAAATGTTGAATCCACCATCCCATAGCTTGTTTTCACCAAGTATAAAATCATCACTGCAAGTTAAAAACTATGAAACTCGCTATATTTTACCCAATGGTTCGGTAAAACTACACGACTATATTTCACCAAATGGTTCACTAAAACAACTACTTATAACTACATAGCACATAAAGCTCAAGCATATAATTATATCATTCAAATACATATAAAGTGTGCCTAGTGACACCAATTTTATCATCAGAGTCAGACACAATAACAATGGCTTCAACACTGGCTTTATAACTTAACAGGGCTCTCCTTCCAGCGTCACGATGTAAATTTCAGCTTTCACGAGAATCAGAATGAATAATATGATGATAATAAAAACTAAAGATAAAAAGAATAAAATATTTACAGAATACACCAAGACCTCATGATTGATCAAGACCCAACAATACCTCGTGATTAATTTGACGTTCACTAGTTGGGCTGCCCCAACTTTCTTCACTGTTTACTTGATTCATCACTGTAGACTTCACACCCTGTTCAAATTTGTCCTTTATAACTTCAATTTCTACAGTTGCAACATTTTTCATAAACCACACATAACTACCATCCCTGACTCGTGTTATTCTTAGTAGCACCCTTTGCTGGTGGAAAAGCATGCTTGCCTTCACCTGTTGTAGTGACATTTTCTGTTTCAATGCCAATTTTTCTTTTCCTTTCAGAAGTATGCTTTAGAATCTTCTTTTGTGTACATTGCTGCTTCAACCTTTTCAATTAGACCAAGCAAAAAAGCCAATGTCTCTTTCCAATATCTAACCACGGCGTCACTTGATGACTTTCCCAAATCTGTCAAATCATGAAGCCATTTAATGGTATCTACATTTTCCAAAATTATTCCAGAATTTCTAGAAAGCCTTTCAAAGATGAGAGGAGTGATCTCGAGCAGACGGATGTACGCCATCTGGAGAAAGAAGACAAGTGAACATTAAAGGTATCCAAGTCCAAATTCAGCAAAAAATGAGATCAGAAAACCGAATTACATTAGTGAACTCTGATTCTAATAATTTTTGTCAACGTGTCAATGATTAAAACTACAATGACGCCATCGGCTACTTTCCCAGGTCAAGGCAGAGAGTCTCCTAACAATTGGAAAAAACTAATGATCGAACAGGCAATTTCACTAGGGACAGAAACTGAACCGAATCGATTAGTCTAAAAGATAAAATTCTCACCGTCAAGAAGAGACCCACTGATGCAATATTATAAGAGATAGTATTTAATTAGTTTCATGTCGAAGTTGCCCTTGCCTAATCTTTTGTGTGACTCTAATGTTAGACTTTGATATGACTCTACCTCCACCATGTGATACTCCCCGAGTTGCCACATTTCCGAAGTTATTGGTCGTTCACACACTTTTCCTAGTGCTTTGTGCTTCTCGTGTGGATTCCGTGATAGCTTTTGTGAATGAATTGTACATGTTGCTTATTAGAGTTCTTTATCGCTATTTGGTCTAAAAGAAATATCATCCCTCTTGGTCAATTCAAATATTTGGGATTGATATTCAAATTCAGTTGTTGTCACATGATTGGCTACTTTATTTAGTCGGGAAGAAAGATTGTCCTCCTTGGTTAAGAAGTTGCAGTCGGAGTCGAATTTCCTTAGTCAGGGAGAAATAATGCAATATTATAAGAGAGAGGTATTTAATTTAGTTTTCAAGTTTAACATTTATTTTAGGAATCATAATTATGATTTGATTTTATAGTATTTTCCTATTCAATTAGAACTAGTTTAAACCTTATATGGGGTAATTCAAACAAACTTTAATATATGAAATAAACAGATTTTCTCCCCTAATTTCCTTCTATTCTCTCACTCCTCTTTTATCCCTCCTTTTTCCTCCTCTCCCCTTTCCCCTTCTCCTATGATTCTCTTATTGCATCCTGCGTCACCCACCCAAGAGGTGAGAGGAAACTTGTTCGAACTAGCCAACAAATAATTTATTTTCTTTTCTTGTGGGTAGAAGCCAAAAGTAAGAAACTCCCCTTTCTCTTCTAACTATATGAAAACCATACTTTCCCCTGTTTGGTAGAGATTTTTTGATAATAGATTTGAAAAAAGAGATTTCTTTAGAGAATTGGTGGTTTAAAAGTATAAAAAAGTTATGAATCCACGTGCAAAATTATTTTATTGAAAAAATGTGTTGTTGATAACGAGATCTGGAAAAATGAGTTTTATAAAATGTAGGCAAAATAGGAGCTTTGAAAATTAAGATAGCGTAACATGTACATACTTTCAAACAAGGTTGTCAAGATGTATTTTTGGATCACATCAGTGTAGGGATCTTGCGAACCAAAGGTTGGATCAGATCGAGGATTCTAAGATTCTTAGTGAATATTAATTATTAATATACTAAACATAGAAAAATGTCAAATATTCTTAGCCCTTGTTTAATCCCTATTATTTTCAAAATATATTTCTCTTTCTTCTTTTCAATTACACATTTTTCAATAGAATAATATTACATAGAAACCTAAAATCTTTCCTTATTTTATAATGTTGTGCATGTGGCTCATATAGAGTGAAACACAGGTCCTAGATCAAATGGGTCAATGCCGGCGCGGAGTGGAGTAAGAGAAGTAAAGCGCATCGAACGGAACAGAGCGAAGTATTTCCTGTACGGGCCTTAAAGTCTTATATGGGTCCAGGCTATGGTTAATATAAATAATATGTTGTAACCCTATTTTTTACTACTGAATAAAGAAATTTTCGCTTCGCTCTCGTGGATGTAGGCATACCGCCAAACCACGTAAATTCTTGTATTGATTTTCTTTTTCATCTCTTTAATATTGCGCAAAAAATCCAACATATAACCACACATTCTCCATTAATCTACTACTCCAATATGCATTTTTAACAAAATAAGGGGCTCAAACGGGTGCTTAATAACAAATTAGTAACTATAACTAACTAAAATCAAACTACATAATCAAAGTTGCAACTACTTTATAAAGGTATACAAAAACATGAAATGTAGAGCAAGCGAACCAAACCAGAAATCAAAGCAGACTTCAATTTCAATTTGTTTTTAAGAACAAAATTTTAGTTGCAATTAATGTTTATGTAACAAACTTATGAACACCAATCACCATGGATAATAACAAAAATTACACAACCACAAACCATATGAACAATCATAATATTATGAGCCTAAAAAATCGAGTCCACTTATGACTAGTTTTCAACAAATCAATTAAGGTGCATTTGATTGCAAGCATGGAATTTACTTTAAAAGAAAACTAAATCAATGAAACACGTTTAATTAATAATTTTCATACAAATAAGTTCTAGGCAATTAACCTAAAAAATATTATGCTTGTCCATTTTTTATTGGTGAGTGGATGAGAAAGAGAAAGCGAATTCCTTGGAAAATAAAATCCTACTCCCTCTAAAAAAAATATTTTCCTTGATTTTGAGGAAAATATGGTCACGTGACCAAAGATAGAAAAATATTTTCATGAAAAATATCAATCAAACAGCATAAAAGTAGAAATTTGAGTGAAAAATACATTTTTCATGGAAAACATTGACAATCAAATGAACCCTTAGATACAAAAAATTGAAAATAAGAAAAACATAGTACATATAGAATTAAAATAAGCTATCTCAAAAGTGATCAAACAAATATTAGAAAGAAAAAGAATTCAAGAATATCAATAATGAAGGAATGTCAAAGGCGACAAAAATGAAGGATATCATTTTCTAGATAAGAAATTCTATTTTTTCTTGTTATGTTTTGCATTTCTATAGTTAAGTTTTAATTTAAAATGAAACTCTACTCAATTGTTTTAATTTAAAATGAAACTCTACTCAATTGTCGAACAACCCATTCTACTTAATTGATTAAAAGTAAAGGTAAAAAGCCTATATAGATAGAAATAAGGATCATTAGGATAGTTAGAATTGCTATAATTGTTAAAATCCAACAATGTGATCATAACATTCCAAAATTTTAAGACCCAACAGGTTTTGAGAACCATGTTTCCAAAGGAGCATATTATTCTCTGTTCAAATACATTTGAAAATAATTTTTCCTTAACTTTTTCAAATTTGGTTCCTGCTTTATTTTCATGCCAGAATCCACCTCGCTTCCATGAAATGTTCATACCTCGCTTCCATGAAATGTTCATATATATATATATGTCATAATTTCCCCTTGAAAAGAAGGGAACTATATCAAATACAAGAATGGTGCTCGGCATTCATGAATATGCAAGCACCACTACAGTAAAGAAGTCTTAAATGAAAAAATAAAAAATAAAAATAGAAGGCTGAAAATACATAACTTATCGTCAAATACTCAGATAGAGACAGACCTGAGATACTTTGTAATCTATGAATGTCGTGCCTTTCGCCAAACACTTCCAAATTGAAGGTGAGCAATTGCAGATAATAAGCAGCTAAACTTCTTCAGTGACGTGGAGCTGACTGTTTATGAATGTCCATGAACTTTTTTGGGTGAACAATCAAATACAGGTTGCTTCAAAAGTCCACCTTGGGAAGAAAACATTCCAACATCAGAGGCCTCTCACAACTTTTGTGACCCAGAGTTGGTACATGGATACCCTTCTTTGAGCAATTTACACAGAACAAAGAAGAAATGACGTAAACTATGAATTTACAAAGAACAGAGTCCAACTGAAACTGCAAAAGAAAAAATACTGTATGAACAGTTAGTCCCGACTTTTAGAGCTTTATGACTTTCACATATTAAAATACAGCAAAGAAAAAATGATATTTTGTGAGCAGGTAATTCCAAAGAAATCCTGCAAGTTTCTCTCTCTTATTATCACATTAATAAGTACTATATAATGATGGAATTGGTACAAACTTTAATGGGTGGAGAAAGGACCAATTGGTCTCTTTTTATAGCATTTCGAATGCACATCTATCACACAAATTCATGAATTATCATACATTAATACATAAGTGCTCTTTGCCACCTTCATTTAAGTCATCTTACATGTAAACTTCATTTATTTGTAACCACACATAAGACGTCGACAATAAAGAATTCATTTTACTTCATTAACCCATTACATTTTAATTTCATTGGAAGTTCTCTTCATAAATTGCATGAGATATTTTTAAATTATCCGAAAATCCTTAATGTGAACATAACATGCGCATTCTCATTAATGAATTCCTTAGTTAACTGGTCACAACATACATCATATGCTAGCTAAAAACTTATGCGAGTTGGCAGTTGTATGTCATTTAATTTGACATAGTTCCTTCCAAGTACCACTTCACTAATTTTTAACTTAACGTCATCCATAACTGAAGAACATTCATTATGGTACAACAGCAATGCATTTAAGATATTCCTGCTATAACTCATTCATGTATATCATAATTGAACGTGAAATATCATAAACACACAAGCGATCTATGAGTGTCAAAGTACTCATAATGTTGTTTTATCAACAATTACGTTTAATATTCATTCTTTTAACACGTTCTTTATAAATATCTTTGGTGCCATCCTTTTCGTTAATGGGTCTACAATTGTAACTTTGGTACTTACATGTTTGATTGACACTTT